ATCCGACTGTTCATTTCCACATAGCGCTGGTTTGCCTGCAGGATAGCGCGTTTGGCTGCTGGCAGCTGCACTGGAGGTCTGCTGAGAGGAAACAGAGGCTCAGTGAGCACTGTGACCATGTCTAACGAGATGACAAGAGATCCCACTTTGAAGTCCGGGCAGTTAAAATGCCAACCAACCTTCTCAGTTCACAAAGACTGGAGTTACATTTCAACAATAGCTCCATGTGATAGTTTGGATTTAATTACAATGGGCAGTCTTGCTCTTCAACCAGCTAGAGAAAGATGGCCATTATATAATGATTGTTGCCAGTTTTGTCAATTCAAAGCAGCTGCTGTTATCCAGTTTCTTCTTTGCTCTCCATCTCTGTCCTTTTTCAATTAATTTGGATCCTGCAAATGTACATAATAATAAGTTACCTGAAAGATCGGCTGGTCACAACAAAGACATGGAGGTTAATTATACATTCACAGACCTCAAGGGCAACACACAATCATGCGGCTGCAAACAATAACCATTAAAGTTAGTTTGTCATCGGTTTATTGAGCTGTAAATGAGTTATTTACATACTGGGTTGGAAAGGATTACTTACAATGATCTTTCTCTACAAAGCCTCCCTTCAGTCGGCAGGAGACACATTTTATCTTTGCTTTTTAACAGAATATCTCCTCTCAGTGTTTGGAATTGAGTGTAATTTTCTGCAGTAATTAAAATGCTGTCATCATCCAAGAGTTCTTTGTCAAACCTGGGGAAACCTCTGAAGCTTGTAGTGGAACAGTCAGCTTCAAAGCCAAGGTTAAACATTTATTACAAAAGCAATTAAGGACTGATTGCATGTAATTACTTATACTTCACAAATTGTAAAGTTATGTCATGTATCACATGTTTTAAAGACCATACTTAAATTTGATGCTGTCCACGCAGACGTTTCTGAAATGTGTTTTCATAATTTTTCCATTTAGATTTTTACCATTTTCCTGTCAGTCACATTTAGTGTAAAGATTATATGTTTTGACCACACAGATTTTTTTTTCTGAAACTGCCCTTATTGTACCAGTAGATCATAATACAATGAGAGAGGACTATCATCCCTCAGGGCAGCTATGCAAGCATGCCGAGGTGAAAGGAAGGAAGCAAAGAGAAGTGAGGGAGAGGCTGAGAGACACGACAACATGGAAAATTGTGTGGTTAAAAAACTCAACTGAATGACAGTTATGCAGATTAGTGATGGGGCTGGAACCACAGACTCTCTAGAGAATGGAAAATATTGGAAAAGAACGGGAAGGTCGGAAGAATGTGTGGAGAGATGGTCAGATTTGTGAACATGGGGAAAAAAGGAAAAGGGTAGACATGCTGAATGAGATGTGAAAAAGACATTAGAAAAACCTTAGAGAGCAACTGGAAGAGGAGACGCACCCGCAGTTGGAGACTAGAGAGAAGCAAGAGGAGTGGAAAAAAGGGGGGTTTGTGTGTCTGTGTGTTGGGGGAGGAGCCAGTAAGGAGGGTGGGTATCCTGTAGGGTTAATTACATCTCTGTTCTCTGTCAGTTTGGCTCTCTCCTCTGTGATCTGAGTTCCTGCTGCTGCAGGCCGACGGGCCACAAAAAACACACGCAGATTCACAAAAATATAACCCACACGCTGATCCAAACGTATAGATGTACAAACGCACACACAACGCATACACAAATGTTCAGCGTCTCCTCCTTTTCGTCTGTCTGCTGCTGCTATCACACACAGTAAACACAGTGTGTGTCCCGGGAGGAAAGGCATCAATCTCTGTGTGTGTGTGTGTGTGCGTACATGAAGAGGAAGGCCCCAACTTGTAATAGCTGTTAATTTTGCATAAATCATGCATAACATGACCCACATGTAAATCACTCATGTCAGCAGGATATTATTTCCCAGCAGCTCCTTCTTTTTCCTCTCAAAGGGGAACAGAAGATGATTTTGGGTTTGTGTCTCCGGGGTCTGTCTGTGGATGAAATACTCTGTTATCTGCATGGAGGTATCCTGCTGTCGTGAACCCTTATCTCTTTCTATGTAGGAAAACAAGCATGCGGTGTGGCATGTGACATGCAACGGAAAAAACTCATTTTTTGATACACAGCTTATAAGACAGGGATGGAATTTGTACAATTAAATCAAGCATGACGGTCAAAGTTTTTTATGGGCTCCTTTATCCTCCACCACGGCCTGAGCCTGAGCTTTTCAAAGGTTTATTTTTGCTCCCTTCTCCCTCAGATCATCCCACACTCCTTCAATAATGCCGAGCTTAAAAAGGTGGAGGCCAGTCCTGATGATTCCCGGGCCAACGGTCGATGGATCGGCTGAAGGTCCAGATTCTTCTAACTGGACCTCTTAGAGTGAGAGGTGGATTTGTGCGAGATGATGTGCAGCCTCCTCGTCTGGAAAAGCCTGCTTGAAACCGTGTGCCACTGAGAGAGTATTTTCCCAAGGAAATTGGCAAACAGTCTGAACGTTCAGCGGCCGCTGTGGGCAAAGCTAATGGCTTTTTCGCTGACAGCCTCACGGGGAGAAAACGCATTAGAAAAAATAAAATGTATCGACATGCGCTCTGATACATGTTGCGTCTCACGTATAGGACGGATGGCTGGGATAACACCAGCCTTACTAATAAGTTTAGTAGCAAAACCCAGATGTTTTTTGGGTCAAATTTGAAAGTGGGAGAGAGATAAGTCGCTTCTTTTGCAGGAGCTGTCAGCTCCCAGAGGTAAGACAGCAGTCTGCCCAGCTTTGCAGCAGCAGTGGACCCTATCTGCTGGGGAGGGGGGGGGGGTTATCTGCCAGCGTCTCACAAGAAAACACGAGACCACTTACACTTATCAGACCCACCGGCCCAGGCCCGGTGTCGATCAGACGAATGGTCGAAAAGGCATTTGCGAAACGGGAGAAAAAAACGAAGCTGGTGTTGTGATAATTTTGGATGGGATGCAGCAGTATCTGGTCTCTGGTTCAACGATTGATGAGACATGAGGGTTTACGTGAGTCTGATCTCCTTCCATCACAGACACAGAGCACGTCGCGTCTGTTGTTTTATCGCCTAGCGGGAAACACAGCGACTGGCTTCTGCACCTCACTCCTTGTTAGTCTCTCGTATATCTCGCTGCAGCCCCACTCAGCACGTAGTCAGGATTCCTTGGTGCTGCCCCCCTTCCAAACAGCCTATGCAGAACATTCTGCCTGTCTTATCTGAGACGGTGTGCTGCAGATTGAAAGCAGACTTCTCCCTCACAGTGTTGATAGTTACAATTCCTGGTGCGATCCAAGTCATTTAACGACACCGATACCTTTCATTGTTGCCAAGAATATCTGAAATACTAAAAGGTTTCAGCGGACCGAAGCTGGATCTATCCGACCAATCAGCCATGACCAAAAAAATGTGTTATGGATTGAATTGGATTGAAAGGGTTGATTGTAATGGCTACCACCGCATGTGTCGGTGTGACAAATCGATGGCGTAAGCAGTGGTGTTTTTTAAAAATAAGTTATTTATGAGGTAAATCGGGGGAAAGAAATAAAATGAATGGTAATGAAGAAAAAAAGCATTGGAACTGTATGTGGTGTAAGTAGTTGACCCAGCTGGTGAAAAAGAAAAAAGGCTCTTTGCGTGAAAGAATGTGATCATTATATCATCAGCTTTGGTTTATTCTGAGCCGAGCAAGATCCCTTCAAAACATGAAAGTGCTTTTAAAGCACCTCAACTGCGACGACAAATGAATAACAGGGAGATCAGCTCGCAGTCGTGCCTGTTGTCTTCTGGCGTCAGAATTCATGAGGCAACATAAAGCATCATTAAAGGCTTTCCTGTCAAGTGTGAAGATCCCTGCTGTCTGTAAAGAAGCCTTTCACACAAATAACATGACAGGGCTAATCCTCCTGACAAATCATCGAATCTCCCCGTTGTTTGCACCTTTGTGGTTGAACCCCGCTGAGATGTGTCCCTGAGAGCCCAGGCCTGCTTTATTAAGGGAGGTTTTGCCTTAATTAGCTAATGGGATTGTTTTAACCATGATCCAAGAACAGAATAGCCCACGGGAAGACAAACAGAAACTCTGTGGAAGTCTTCGTACAAATGCAGCCGCACGTGCGTGAGTAACTGTGTGAGATGTGTGTGTGTGTGTGTGCGAAAGTGGATGCATTTTGCTGTGATTCCTCCGGGCGTGCGCTCGCGCCGGTGCGCGTGCACGTGTCATCTAAGGAGGCACACATTCTGTCTCCACTGTAATTAATGTGCCTTCTTGCAAGACTTTCCCTGGCATGTGAAACAATTTTACCTGATGATGCAAACAGCTGAAAACAGCGGCGGGGTTTCGCCTCGCCCCCTCGCCCAACACTTTCCCTTTATGTGAGAGCGTTAATGGATGCCAGCGCTACACTCGTAGTTTCATATCTGTGTATTTTAATGGTTCTGCAATTGCCAAAAGGCTTATTTTGCTGGAGGAAATGTGTGTGTGTAAGCAGAATCCTTTGTAGTGTGCAATGAAAAAGCTGTATCACGGCTTGGCAATGATGTTCTATCAGAACAAGAGCTGACTTACACACTAGCACACACAGACACACACACACACGAGCAACACAAAGACACACTTAAGCCTCAGCGAAGTCCAGGGAAAACATTGGACAGTGGACAAGAAAGAGACAAAGCATCAAGACAGAAGACACATTCAAAAGCAAAATATGCAGATCGGAGCGTCTGAATTCGAAATCCAGCCAAAAACATGAAATCACCACCTTTCCCTTTAGCTACATTAGCTAAAGGGAAAGCTGTCCTGCAAGAGAAATTTCCCTCAGAAAGGATTTGTATTAAAATGCACTCACAATAAAAACACATGCTCTAAAAAAGACTATAAAAACACCATATACTCAATAAAAGCGTGCAACAAATTATCCCAATAGCCAGCGTATAGACAAGTGGGAGTCGATAGGAGCAGAGAGGGGCCCGGCGGCTCGATACGGCGCAATAAACGATGGCAGCTCATGGCCGGGTGGCCGTCGGAGGAACCTAAAATTGATTTCCTTCCCTGCCCTTCTGTTGCAGTGTGCACCGTGCGCTTCTCCCAGGAGCCCGCCAACCAGTCGGTGGTGCTGGGCGAGCGGGTGGTGCTGTCCTGCGTCATCTTCAACTACAGCGGCATCGTCCAGTGGACCAAGGACGGCCTGGCCCTCGGCATCGGAGAGGGCCTCCGAGGTGAGGGTAGGGGAAGAAATCCATCTTCTCTCAGCCGGGAAGAGGGCAAACGCCTGCCATGATTCGGTCTCGGTTTTGACTTTAAGAACTCCGACAAAAGCCGGAAAGTGTAGGCGTTGTCTTTTTTAACTCGGAGGGAACAAAGAGGCGTGCGAGTGACAATCGGGGCAGAAATGAGGCCTGTATATCATGCTGAATTAGAGAAAATCCCTCACACTGCTGACAAAAGCAGACACACATTAGCGGTTACATTTTAAGCTGACAGGCACTTCCAGGATGACTTACTGAGAGAGCGGCCGTACATCACGCTTCACTCTGGAGGTGGGGAAACATCACATGCAGCCAAAAGTGTGAGAGTCAAAGGGGTCAGAGCAACCAAATATCCGGAGAAATAGTCTTTTCTGTGGATGTTTTGAGGGATCAGAGTAAACTCGGAGAAGGAGACAGTAAAAGAATAAGAGGGTCAGAAGGAGAATAAGAAAATCACTCCAGCGGCCCCTATTATTTCTAAAATATATGCTCTCAAGCTTTCAAGCAATCACACTTCCAGAATACTAACACGGATAGCTTAACATTTACCCGCTGGAAGAAACTGCTCGGAATCCATGGAAGATTTGGGGATTTTGATGAGAAATTAAAATTCTCTGTTATAATACGGAGAATTCTTTGAAACAGTCAACAGAGACTTACTTGAATGATGTTAATTACCGTTACTGATGTTAATGACTGTTACTAAACATCAGGAATGCAGATTTACCATCAAAATGATTGGAATGTTCAGTAAAATGAGCATTTTTGCTTTTTCCACTTCGCATCTTTATTTATACGACCACATTAATCCGTCACTTACATCCTTAGAGACCAAAGGGAGAGTGAGTTTTTTTACTCCGATGTCGAATATTTAGTTAGATTTAGAAATGCATAGTTTTTAACTGCTTCATCGATCTCTAATGGGAAATCATACGTCTGTAAAAGTAACTGTTTAAAGATATAACACTGAGTATAAATTAGAATATAAATCAAGTCCGCGTGGAACGTTGACTGTAGGTGTGAAAGACGTGGCGTTATGGTGTCCTGGCAACAACTTGGCACCTATGCCACACACAGCATAACACAGGTGTCGGGAACATGAAGTGGAACTCGCAGCCAACAGTTCAGCATCTCTTCCTCTGCAGTCTCTGCCCAAAGTCAAGTAGAGAGCCACCAGAGCTGCTCCTGCAGCCGTGTTGGGATGAAAAATTTATACCGCCTTCCTCATGATCCTGCTGTGTCCTCGTCTGGGATCCAAGCTTGTCCATTCCACCCACCAGTGATCCCACAGCAAAACAAGGGAAGAAACGGTGAAACTCTCATTCACCTTTCTCTGCAGCCATCCTTAAAACTCACCATGGTTTGGTGGTCTTATTCCAGACACTCTTTAGGTTTTATTTAAGTTGTTGCTATGGTTTAGCATCATGACACATGTCAAATATTTATTTAGTCCAACCAGGAACAAGTATAAATGTATTTGGTTCAATAGTTCAAAGTGGAGTGGCTTTTAGGTCCATAGTAGTAGAGGACACAAAAAAAGCCCTTTTTGGATTGATTGAGAAGACGTTTCGGTTGCAAACTGTTGGACTCCTCGTGAAGGAAAAGCAGGTCTTGGCCCGGGCTGCGCTCAGCAAAAGAGATGAAGCGCTGATCCAGATTGATGACATCCTTTGGCAGAGCAGTGAGCACTCTGAGGAACTCTTAAATCCCACAGACACGTCTTCTGTCAAGTGGGCCAAGCTTCAGGGGAGGTTAAGGAGCTTTTTTCCGAAACAAAATGCTTTGTCTGTGTGACAGTCTGCCCGACTCGTAAGCCTAGACATCGTACTGTGGAGAGTGGAGGGCGGAGAGGACCCAGTTGGTGCTGAATAATATGTCCAGCGCCGGAACGGCCGCAGATCGTTGGGCAAAACTGTCCCTCATCGCACTTTCATGTCGTTTTCATGAAGGCACAGCCAAGTTTTGGGACTGATCTCCAGACATTTCAGCCGGTTTCTAGTCTGGATGAAATATTAGCAGACCCGATTCTATTCTGGTTAAAAGACGGTGATTGCTCAAAGGCATTTTCCTGAGTTCCCAGACCTTTGTGGTGGAGGGGAAGCGTTCACATTAGTCGACATTTTCCATGTCCAAACCATCAGTTGCAGGCATGAGGTTTGCATAATGTCTGAAACTGGATCACAAAGCTCAGATGCAGAAAGGCGAACAGCTGGGGTAGTTTGGGATTGGTGCAGGATGTCTCCTGGGCCGCTTTCTTCAAAGTGCTTTCTCAGCTATTTTTTTAAGGTATGTAACAAACAAGCCCGACTTTCTTTGAATCTTTTAATGTACTCCTGAGTTTGTTTGTTTGTGTTTTTCACATTTTATTAAAGAAACCGAGACGGTAGAAGGCAAAATATCATTCTCTCTTATCAATTTTATCTTGGGTCAGGCTTTATAGGTTTAAGAATGTTTTTTTTGTTAAGTTAGTGCCACTGATCAACGACCTATGCATAATGTAAGCAAAGAGAAGCAGAAATCTAGCCCAAGGGACAAACCATTGTTGTCTTGAAATAACACACGTGCTATTTATACACTAACTAGGTAATTCCCAGTGAGCTATTTACTGAAAACACGGTATGCTGTGTAGTGTTTCTTTTGAAAAACCTGAGGGAATGGACAAGTGGAGGACGAAAGGTCTAAAACTATCTGTAGCAGATGAACAGTATCTAAAAGTCCTTCGATGGAAGAAAAATCCTGCCTTTCTCTTCAATACACCAGAAGTATTTGAGGGCATGTCGCTAAAGTTTATTTTTTCTAATATGTTTTCTCCCAGTAATGCTGTCAGCGAAAGAGCCATTAGCTTTGACCCCAGCAGCCGCTGAACGTTCAGACTGTTTGCCATTTCCCAGGGAAAACACTCTCTCAGTGGCTCAGGGTTCAAGCAGCCTTTTCCATTTCAGAGAAATCCACCTCTCAATCCAAGAGGTCCGGCCAGGCCTTAAAAAACTATTTGTGGCAGATAAAGAGGATCTGAAAATGTGATTTCCTTAAGAAAGAGGTAAAAATCCAGCAAAAGGACCTGAGAGATGCATCTGGACCTTCAGCTGATCCACGTCCTCTTAGCCCGAGCATCATCAGAAATGCTCTCCAAGAAGCTGTTCCTAAATAAGGAAAACAAGGAGGAAAGTCCTCCCCAGAGGCCGGAGCTCCACATTATTGAAGCAGTGTGGGATCATCTGACAGAAACCGAAGTAAAAGGCAGAAACATCCAGAGAAGAGCTTTGGGACATCCTTCAACAAGCCTGGAGAACCACTTCTGTAGACTCCTCAAAGGAAGGACATACAGCTGGTTGGAGAGGGTTAGGGCTATTTTGGAGAAAAAGGGTTCTTACATCACATGCTCACTCTCAGATTTGACAGAATGGCACCAAACTTGCCTCAGTTTGTATCTGCACATTTCAAGAAACACTGCACATTTTTTCCTGATTGTAAATTAAGAAAAACCGGGTTGGCTCCATACTCACACTCGGAGCTGGACTTGCTTTGAAGTTCTCGCAGATATTTTCTCTGCTCTGCGGTTTAAAACCGTGTTTAACAAATTGTTACCGAGAGCAACTTTGGCATTATCACCCACACTCATTACAGCAGCACTCGGCTCTGCAGCGCTTCTGCGAGCTAAGATACATCAGCTACCCTTCCACCTGTGCTCACACGTCAGTCCAAATCCACCACCCACACACACACACACACACACACACACACACAGACACACACACAAACCCGTGCTGAACACAAACATAAGCACAGTCACACTTTAGATAATTAGACATGTGATGGGAATCTTGTGTTCGACTCAATTTAATTCGCCGGTTCGGAAAAGGGCAGCGCGCCTCTGTATTCCTTTCTTTATTTCCTGCTCCTTCTTCTTCTGAGCTACACCTTTGTCGTCACCTCTGCTGCTTTCTATTTCTTTCCCTCCTCTTTGCCCTCGCTCTCATCCCTTCCTCCCTTTGTTCTGTGCCGGTTGGTAATGCTCTCTTTGTCCTTGCAGCCTTTTCGCAAGCCCTGGTACCACTGACAAACACATTTGATAAACATGTTGTCCTCTTTGTCTGTGATTCTCTGCTTTTTAGCCATCCATCACCACCCTCTGTCCATTCTGTCCGTCTCGGCTGTCAGTGATGCCACTCTTCCTTTCTTCCCTGACGTATGTTCGTTCAGTTTTTGGCTTCTCTCATCTATATTGTGTTCTCGACTGCCATTTCGTGCGTGGGAAAAGTCTGTCATTTGTTAGCGTTTTCACCAGTAAATTAAATCAGTTAACTGTGAGCCAATGAAGTGTAGCAGGTGTGTGATATATGACGTGCAAGAGGTTTTTATTATGTGCCCTGTGGGATTATATATGGCTGTTTTTGACAGTGGGGGCGTGCAGATCGTGCAGTGAATTCATACCTGCAGTTTTCCTCACCCACACATGGAGGAGATCTGCATTTATTCACGCGCTAAAACATTTTTCTTCCACGTCACATGTGAAATAAACACATTTGCCTCGAATGTGTGGTGCTGCAGAGGCGCCGGTTATGGCGCCACACGTGTGTGTCAGTCAGGAGCTAATAAACATGCTTATCTTCTCGCTACCTGCTGGCAAGAGTGGTGGCAGTTCATTGTTCTTCTCCAGCCTCCTCCTCCCTCTTCTCCTTCTCCCCAGGGTGCTTTCACCTCTGTGGTTGCTATGCTGCGAGGTGCTGGAGTGGATGATGTAATCTCCACTAATACTTTTGTACCACCCACCTCCTTCCTCTCCGCACCCCAAATGCCTGCCTCCTTGACTGCCTGTACCATCTGAATCCATGATGTCATGTGAGGATCGGGCACAGAGGATCAATGAGTGCCCCCTAGTGGGACGTCATGCTCAATTATGTCTTTGTCTGAGAGGCAAGGGTTCAAACACAGAGGGAAGGGGGTGGTGGTTGGGGTGGGAGGGTTCTGTAATTAGAGCGGCGTTGCCTGTAGTTCTGCAGGTTCTGACTCACTCAGGAGCTGATGTGGCTTTTTGCGCGCGCGTTAATGTTTGATCAGTGTTTGTGTACATTCCCTGCAGGTTCCTCTCTCTCCGTGTTCCTTTTGTGTGGGTTTCTGCCTGTGCCATCACCTCTCACGGTGGGGTGTGTGTGTGAAGGACATGCCGTTATCTCCTCCAGATGCGCCGGTTAATGCAAAAAAAAAGCTCCTTCAAGCGTCTCGAGTAATCTCTAAATATCATCTGCGTGGTCTGATTAAAAAGCTTTGACATCTCCACTCAGCACACAACTCATTTGCTGCCCGCCTTCCCATTCCTGCAATTCAATTGAGATTTGGCATTTATCCATTTTGATATTTGCTATATGTTCGAAACACGCTGCGCATCTGTTCTTTGGTTTATTTAGGAAGAGGACATATATAAAATGTGTATTAAAGATTCTCTCTCTCTTTTTCTTCATGTTTCCCTCCTCCCTGTGCTTACAAATAATACGACATTGATCCTAATCTCTTTTCTGGTAATTCAAAGCGGAGGATAAAGTTGTGTTTTCTTGTGGTCTCATACATACAGTTAGGGTTAGGGTTAAAGTTATATCTGAACCACAGAACATGCCTCCTCTATAATTTGTATAATGTCTCTCTGCCAACCTCAGGGGGCTAAAATTGAGCTCTACATTAACAGAGCCTCTGGTGGTAAAAAAAATACAAATCTTTACCCAATGTCTACTTTAACAGACTCTGCCTCTCTAATATGCTCTTTGATAACCAAACATGTTACTGACCTGTTGTCAGTAAAGCTAATCAGCTGTAAAATGTTTTCTCTTCAGTGCCACTTTCTTTTTTTTTACTTTTTTGTTCCTGCCTCTCCAGTAGTTTTTTGAGTAATCCAATTAAAAAATGAACCAAGATAGGCAACATTTGATTAATGTATGTATTTTTGCTCCATACTCAAATTAGTCAGATTTGAGGACAGTGTCCATTTAAGAAATGCTCAAAGACCTGGAAATAGAAATTAACTCATGAACTGTTGCTACATTAAACTCACGTGTAACTCAGTATTGTGCAAACAAGAGTGTAATCCTCAGAAACAGAGGATAAGGTTTCGTATTGAGAACTCGTGACAGTAACAGTAGCATTTTGAAGTCTTTCTCCCTCTTTTCTTCCCTCCAGCAGTCACGTCGGTGACAGTGAGTCATACTTTCCAGGTGGTTCACTTTGTTCAACAAATAAATTAACATGATGTGCAAAGCATGACTTCCAACAACTAAAATAATCTCACTGTGTGTATGTGTGTGTGTGTGTGTGTGTGTTTTCTGGCACTTAATTGCAAACGTGGTGTGTGTCCTCTGCAGCCTGGCCCAGGTACCGGGTGATTCGGGCGCTGGACATTGGCCAGTACAACTTGGAGATCTCCCACTCGGAGCTGTCAGATGACTCTGTGTACGAGTGTCAGGCCACTGAGGTCGCCCTGCGGTCCAGGCCGGCCAAGCTCAACGTACTCAGTAAGTGTAACCACGGACTCAGATATAGGGCTCCATTTTTTCAAAGTCATTCGAGAGATGGCTCATTATTTTTCGGTGTTTTACATTATGAGATCAGTTTAGATGCACCTTTAGAAGACACAGAGAAACATTAGTGACTATGAATGGCGTGGAAAATGTGTCTGAACGTGTGTTACTTTTGCTAAGTACTGCCAAGAGAACACGTTATCTCGACAGAAATGTAAAAGAAAACAAATACAAACTTCCAACAGGGAAGGCGTTTAAAGGCGAAATGTTTGACTTCCCTGAGGAAAATCCTTTTTTTTTCTTTTTTTGATACCACAGTTGATGTTGCTGTTTTTATTTGATCAGAGGAACTGACTTTAAAGCGGGAATGTTTAAGGAACACAGAAACCCCCTTCGTGTAGAAATTGAACATTTGGAGGGATCTTACGGACTTAAGAGCTGGAGCAGAAGAGTCTCTGCCCAGGACTACAGCGCACGCATGGCTGACCTTTAAAAACCTGAGTGAGCTTCGGTTTAAAGCCATTTTGTGTGTCTGTCCTGCAGTCCCCCCCGGGGACCCGGTGGTGGAGGATACGCCGGAGCTCCTGCTAAGGGCCGGAACGCCTCACAACCTGACCTGCGTGACCCGCGGGGCCAAGCCCGCAGCGCACATCCAGTGGACCAAGAATGGCCTCCCTGTGGAAGGAGCCCATCACTCCACGGTGACTCACACTCCCCCAATCCACACATGCAGATAACAGCCTCCGCACGTGCAGGAGTAGAAAAAGCCACGCACCATAAAGCACACATAAAAGCATGATCAGTTTAATACACTGAAATTAGATCTGCAAAATGTCTTCTAATAGCTCGCAAAGGCTTTGTGGCACAAATTCGCATCCGCGCAATCTGCTCCCCAATTATATCCACTCTCGGTTTGTGTGCATTGTTGGTTCCCTGATTATAAAATGCTATTATCAAAGCAGATGGAGACCGTTTTCATAAAAAAGTTCAGTGTGCAGTCAAAATCACATTTAAACCTTTTGCTTTTTAATCAGATGCACAGAAAACATTTAGTATTTTTCCATTGTAAGGAAGGTAGAATGCAAATCTGAGATTGTTTACATTTTGTGTGCTTTTCATGGAGAAAATCTTGCATTACACAAACTGTGGGATCAGTCTCTGACACTCAAACACTGAAATATCTCTCAACCATGACGATCTGGCTTTTTAATGAACATGTAGTGTCTTTTCTTGATTTTTTTTCTTTTAGATTTCCTATCGTTATTGACGTTTTGTCATCTATAGCTAAACAAAAACTAACCAGGATAAAATGGTAGTCAACAGAAGTCTGGTCCCAGCATGCAGCATCGCCTGAAACACCTTCATGTTCTCTATATTTATTTATTAGAAATGAATAGGGGATATATTCTTATTTACCAGTGTGTAAGTTTTCTAAGTTTTAAAATAACACAACTCATACTTGGACTTTTACTCATTTAAAAGCACAAAAAACTGTTTCCTCCCTCAATGCATTTGTTTCATAATCAGTTACCTTTTTTTCTAGCTATGGATTAAATATCTGCACTGGACTTCTCACATTGTGATCTTCCATTGAGGGCTTGAAAGAAAAAGTTTATTTGCTGGTTGTAACAACCCTGCAAAGTCTTAATTCACTGTTTCACTGTGACCCACTCACAAACATTCAGGAGCTGATCATCACCAATGAACAGACTGTTTTATATTCATCATCACTATTTACTTCGTCTCTCCTCTTACTTGTGACACTAAAAAGAGAAGGTCTTCCGATCACAAACTGTGTCCATCCTGAAAGCGTTCGTCATTAACTAACCATTAGCGACTTTTTAAGACTTGATGAGGTGGGGATGCATCTGCTGCCGGGTCAAACAGAAATCTGACAAAACTTTGCAGCCATGGATCTGAGAGGGAGTTTTCGGTTGTTTTCTTTTGTTCACTTTGACTGACGAATGCCAGTACGGAGAAAAAAGATTCTTCTCATCCTCTGATTTCAAACTGAAATTCAACCTTGGGGTGAGTGGGCATGAGATAAAGACAACATTTGAAGGTACATGTGTAAATCAAGCCACGGACACAATGTGTGGGAAAGGATTAAAGGGAAAAGATTAAAAAGGACTTTGTTGGTAAGGTAAAGAGTATCTGCTTTCAGACCAAAGATAACAGTCTTTACAATCAAAGGTGAGTTAGCACAACATTAAAAACCTAAAAAGTATTTAACGCTTTCAAGGCTAGAAGGTAACTTTTCTATTTAAAAAGAATCAATTGGAATAAATGTATGCTGTGTGAAGGTGTTATTGGTTAAATCATCCAAATTCAGTTTGTTAAAAAAAAGCTCCTGACTTTTAGCAAATGTCTTACGGCATTTGTGAGTATAATAGAAACAGTAATTAATTCAAATATCTCATACACCTCCTATTTAAAAACAGTAACACTGCATGCTGAAGTCTCCAGACGGTGTGTGTTTGAAGACACCGATTACCCTCAACACATATTCACAAGACAAAAAAAAAATCTACAGCATGTTTTGTAACACCTATTACACACATGCATAAAATTCTTGCCCCTTTTTCTTAGCAGCTTGTGTGTGATCGACTTTGCTTATATAGTGAATATACTTATAAGTTAGATATAATTACATTTTTGCATCTTCATGGCTCGGCTTTGATCCGTCTCTTCATTCTTTATTCTCCACCAGCATCATGTCCCTGAACTCTCTTCCTTTTTTTCTACTTTGATGAGCAGGAAGTGCTGCCAGACAGGAAGAGAGTGACGACCAGGAGCTACCTCCCCATCAATCCGGTGGACACTGACAGCGGCAGCAACTTCTCCTGTGTGGCCAGCAACCCAGCGGTGCCGATGGGAAAACGAGCGACGGTCACTCTGAACGTCCATCGTACGTATCATTGACAAAACTCAGCCAGCTTTGGCTTCTGTAGACACCTTTACCAAGTTAGGTTTTTTTTCTGCCTTCTTCACTGCTTTATAAAATAGATTTTAGTTCAAATAAGTTATTCAGCCAAATCAGTTCTCCACGCAATCTAAAAGCTTGATTTTCTCTAGATAAAACTACCTTTTTGATCTATTTAAGCACGACTTGCAACCAAAAAATCAGTGACTGGTAGCTCACAGGGACATCACTTCATTTAGTGAAGGAGACGGATGGGCTTTTGTTACCTAAAAGAAGGATTATCAACTCAGCGCAGTTACCTTTTTATTTAGACTTTTTTAGTCTTTCGGTTTCTTTTACACAAGATAAATGAAGCGCATTTTTTTACTGGAGAGTTATTTGCTGCGTTACAGCCATTTTGTAGATGACGGATATGAATGAAAATAAACAACTGATGAATTTGGGGGGATTGGAGAGGATTCTCGTAATTGTTCCAGGCCCACACTGTTCTTTAGAAGTACAGTGTGGAATTGGTTTCTGACGCTTCGGTGAGCTTCACGTGTTTTATTGGGATTTTTTTTTTTTATGACAGTAGTTAGAAAAATATCAAAAAAAGGCTCTGTTAAAGTACAACACTGTGCTGTCGACTTTATGACATTGATGGGGGGATTTTGTGGTTGATCTGGCAGAAAATGTGGATTTCTTAGAAATAGAGGAAAAAAATCTCGTTGAGTTTAACCCCTTCCCACTGTAAAAAGGTTTATCTGCGTTTATCTGGAAAATCCTCCAGAGGATACAGCAAGAATGTCGTCAGGTGCACACGTACCAGTTCGCTAAAAAGCCCCCAAGTCTTGTGATTCAGGTCATTAATTCATTTATAATAAAAGTTGTAGCATTTATAATATACTATGAATAATATATTAAACATAAAATACATCTGAGTGGTGAAATGCTGCAGAGGAGGAAGCCAGGCTTCACTGTAAAAGCTGTGATGGGCCCGAAAATAAGACCAAAGTCTCGTAAATCCGAGCAAAACCCCTGGCTTTGTCCGTTTCTCCTCGCACAAGATTGTAACTCTGTGTCTCTCCCCGTGCAGACCCCCCCACGGTGACCCTGTCCATCGAGCCCCGCTCCGTCCTGGAGGGGGAGAGAGTCACCTTCACCTGCCAAGCCACTGCCAACCCTCCCATCATGGGCTACAGGTGCGAGCCCACATCTGCATGCGCGGTCTTAAGTGCAGATCAAGAAGCGCGGGGAAGGCTTTGATGCAGGTCCTGCAGAGCAACATTAGGAGTCTGATCAGATGATCAATGCCAGTGGTTTTCCTTTCATCTCTTCCAATCTGCCTCGTATCCAGCCTCTGGAGCGGCCCCCTGAATAGTAATTTTGCGCTAAGAGAAGAGAATTGGGGAAAGTATTGAACATTTGTGCTGCTAAACGCTGATGCTTATCGCCGGCGACAGCTCCGAAGCTGCAAAACGCTGGTTTTAATCTTAAGTTAGAGACTTTATCGTGGGGTCCGGATGTGGGAGCGCTGCCAGGTACGTGGGGGCTATTAACTGTGCATTAAAATGTCTTCTAACGGGGAATGGGCCATATGGTGGTATGATTTTTACTTAGATATCTGGCAGTTTATGGGTAACAGAAACAAATCGGCATAAGGAACAAAAAAATAGATGAATACATTCTTTGCTTAATGGTGTAAATCTGAAGGGGTTCATAACACAAAGCCATTTGTTTGTTTTTTTATGCCGTTGATGGGCAGATGTGAATGAGATTCGTGGGGCTTCGGAATGGTGTTAAACGGCGCTGTGCGTTTCTTTGTCAGGTGGGCTAAAGGTGGCGTGTTGCTGGAGGGCGCCCGGGAGAGCGTGTTTGTCACCACGGCGGATCACTCCTTCTTCACCGAGCCCGTGTCATGTCAGGTGTTCAATGCTGTGGGAAGCACAAATGTCAGCATCCTCGTGGACGTGCACTGTGAGTAGAATACAAAACGAACGGAGTTAAGTAGCCTTTCTGTCCAAGTAAGCACATTGCATTTGTGCTACTATGAGTGGATTTATGCTACCGGCGGAAGAAAGATTCATTAAAAACACCTTTTTGTGACACACTTTTTGCAATTTCTACATTGCATCTACCTTTTTCATTTTGTCCTTTTTATGTTTTTTTTGTCCAGTTGGCCCAATTTTAGTGGTGGAGCCCCGGCCGGTCACAGTGGACGTGGACTCTGACGTCACTCTGAACTGCAAGTGGTCGGGAAACCCGCCTCTCACGCTCACCTGGACCAAAAAGGGCTCCAGCATGGTGAGAGTAAGCTCTCAAACATACATATATTCATGTCTGGTTAGTGTTTACTTAAGAAAATTCTGACTTTTAAAGAACTTATGGCTCTTAACCAGGCATACTTTACACTAAATAGCCAGACTTCATAAATGTTTGCTCAGCTGAAAAGCTGGCGATTAGTGGCCCAGACTCTTGAATCTTTAATTCCCACCTAACCGGTTAAGAAAGGCTCGAGGAAAGAACTAGCAGAGCCTGCTGAGTAATTTAACATGTTTTATAAATTGAATATAGATCCCCCCCCCCCTTTCGCCATGTTTTCCATCCGCAAATCCTGGGCCTTGTTCTTGGCGCGTACTTTGTGAATTGTTAATGTATCCTGCGTGTTTTGTCCAGGTGCTCAGCAACAACAACCAGCTGCATCTGAAATCGGTGAGCCAGGCCGACGCCGGCCAGTACGTCTGCAAGGCCATCGTGCCGCGGATCGGAGTGGGGGAGACGGAGGTGACGCTCACCGTCAACGGTCAGTCATCAACACACACCTCTGCAAACAGGAAAAGATAGCAGAAACTTTGCTGAGCGGGTCTCCCTGCACCCATAAAAAATCTAAGAAAAAGGAAAAAACTAGGATCTGTGTCAAAAATGGAAAAAACGAAGAAGGAAACCATGTCTGTAAGCTGCTTGTTTGATTGATTACCGCTCTCCAGAAGGATGTTGGAGTCGGACTGACAGCGAACAGGCTCCAGAGTGAAGCCTGCACAGCTCTGAGAGAGCTGTTGTATGAACAGAGAGGCAGATCTCACTACAAGCCTCCTGCTTCCCTAAGATTCATATCAGTCGTCTGATATTACTGGAGAAATATATTCAGTGTCATAACAGATCGAGTAGGTTCAACTTTCCGCATTCGGTCAAACGTCCTCTGAGACCAGTGGTCCAAACAAACTTCACAGTCAAGAATGACTCAGTTTCACCGAGTGCTGAATAACAGACAGGGTTCATTTGATCATCACACTGGTTGTAGACAACCATAAGAAAAAGAGAGGGCCACAAAATCCGCCCACAGTTTGACAGCTTTGTTTTTCCTCGTATTGTGGAAATGGAGAAAAGGATCAAACTCAGAGTGTGAGGTTAATGTGTTTAGCTGAATGCCATCAAGAGGAAAATACATGTGGTATTTTTATGTTTAAAACATAGTATTTATTAATGATCAATAGGGTCTAATAAGCTTTGTTTATTATGTGGTAAATAAAGTGCTATTCTTTGCTTTCTTTAGTACACATTTTTGATAATATCCTGCTTCTTTCTTCCCTTCCAGCAGATATGCAAATGGGAAGAGTCCGCACCCTTTTCTCTGGGCATCCTTCATTTGTTAAAGCCACATCTGACAGTTAGAGCCACTGAACTTTCAGTCCACAGTCCTACACAAGTTCTCTATTCTGCCAGCCTGCCCAGATTCTTTCCAGCCTAAGCCTGACCCAAATGAACCAATTAGCTCCATTCTCTGCCCTCAAAAGACTAAGTGGCAATATTTCAGTTAAGTGCTGAACACCTTAATCTCACGGCGAAAAAGAGCAAATACTTAGTAATCAAACCAGAATGATTGTTAAATTACACAAGTGGACTTCTTAATTTTTTTCCCTAAAGATCTTGGCCATTGGAGCACTTCTTTACCAACAGTGTGCTGCTTTGTGCAGTACAGTGCAATCACCGTGTTTGTGCCGTCCTCTCTAGTCAAAAACTGGCCACAAAACACAACGCCGTATCCCCGCCGACCTATTTATACTTTATCCCAGCAAAGTCACCGTGTATATCATCAGCCGGCACAACACAGCTAATTGTACGTGACAGCTTTTGCTGGGTGGAAACATCATTCGGTTGACTCTCGGTCGAACACTGGTCTGCCATAGATACTTATAGCTCTCAATTTATAGCCCAGCCCTCAGATTTGCGGCTCAGAGCTGCAGCTACTGCTCCGGCGTTTGCTTAATCAGACCAGGTCATGCTTTAATTACGCTCATGGAGATGAGTCCATGTAACTTTTATTTTAACCGTCAGCCAATGGGAGACCGCGGTCACACATTTGCTGTGTTAACACTCCTCCGTTCAACGTGATGGAGAGCGACAGTATTGCTGTAAGCAGGTTTTCAGTGACTTTGCTCAACGTGTGCCAGCAGGATGCTCGATCTTCCCTCAACCTGCTCGTTTTTTTATTGCTTTTATCATCAACATCCGCATCGGATATTTCGGGCCCTCGTGGTTCCACAGAAACGCTTCAAAATGTATCGCTCTCATATGTTTTCTCAACACCATTTTGACTGTAATCTGAAACCTCTCGTGTGTGTGTATATGCACAGTTGACCCTGTTGGTTGTACACAAGTGGTAGAAACTATCATTTATCATCTTAAACAGCGTTTTTCTGTTAAACAGATACCGTCACGTTAGATTAACAAAGATTTAACACCGTGGCAGCATCGGGTTGCCGGATTGATGATGACCCTCATGTTAGCACAGATGGCCAAATGTAAAGGGATGTGTAACCCCCGAGGAAATACTGATGTGAGAAGCAGTAATTGACTCGCTGAGCAAGCCTGTTTCGGGGAATAGGTATGCGCTGCCAGCGCCACACTGATTTGATGTGTTGCAGCGATGGGAGAAAATGGTGCATCAGTTCCATTAAAGGTGTTGCTGAATTTGAAAATATAATCATTTAACTTATGGCTTTGCAAAGTGGCGACATTAGGGTAAAATGTTGCTTTCAGGGCCATTTTTGTCAGCATCTGAGCAAAAAAAAACAACATAAAAGGGAAGGATTTTTAGTGCCCTTTGGAAACAAAAATTCAAACCTGGTGGCAGATTCTTTAAATGTAAGTATTCTATAGTTATTCTGCTGTGGTTGTGTGAAAAACACACTAGACCCTATCCCAGTTTTACAGTTTTACAGGACCAGAAGTAATATAAGAAACACTAAAGCTCTTAAAATCTGACAATTACAGCCGGTAATAAAAAAGCCATTTACGACACTGTCTCTTTGAGGTTTGCAGCTTCCGTTTGTGCAGGGCTCTCTGAAGGTCCCCCCACAGCTTTTCAGTCCGGCTGAGATCTGGGTTTAACTGCTCCTCTGCAGCACCCTTATTGTTTTCTCTTTCAGACTTTTTGTGGCAGATTTTTTCTGCTGGGAAGAGCAAGTTTCGGCCTTGAATGAGGCACAGATGGCCTCACATTTGAGGAGTTCATGGTGAACTCACTGTGACTGCAAGTTTGTTAATATGCAGCCTAACAAACCTAAACTGGGCTGCCATATTGTTTTAGGAAGAAACAGATTTTCTTATGGGGCTTTTTCAAACAAGCCCTACTTGTTCAGTCTGTCACAAATTGTGCTATCATGACCTTTAACCTTCAACATGCTAAACGATCCCGATAGAATTTGAGATGTAGCTCTTGGCTATAAATGAATCTGTTGTATCTTTTAAGCAACATTTGGATGCTACTATGGAATCATGGTCCTTGGTTTTAGGGCCACTGCATTTTGACTTGTAGTATTTTAAATAACTTATGACACCGTGAAATAAGTGTTGTCGTACATCTTAGGTTATTAAAATGTGCAAAAACCTTTGCACTGATTTGTGTGTTTCTTCCTCATTTTGACATGTCTCGATAGTGCATTTTATCCAAGGGCACGATCAAACATTTATGCGGTTCAAATAAATCACGGACGCTAAAGAAATCTGTGAAATAAACGGCAAAATGCTGGTGGTTCTGATGCAAGTGTTTAAGTCGAGAATGCTTCTTAACATCGGGGTTCATTGTACTAATTATCTTTCTGCCTTTTCCCGTCTTCCTCTCAGGCCCCCCCATCATCTCCAGTGATCCAGTTCAGTATGCTGTCAGAGGGGAGAGAGGAGAGATCAAGTGCTACATTGCCAGCACCCCCCCACCTGATAAGATTGTAAGTCCATCCCTGGAAGTTGTAATCTCCCCTCAGAGTCGCTTGACCTTTTCAGATTGCATCTCCGCCAGAAGGAATCCTGATCACAGCTCCTCGTCCGCGAGGAAAATCCTTTTTCTCTCAGCTTGTGTCACTCCGACTAAAGGAGAGGTAGAGGGGGCATTGTTTCCCAAGTGTGTCATGAGTATGTGAGAACAATCTGTTCCTCCTCTGTAGTGGAAGGTATGAGTCATTAAAAACAGCTGCTGTTGTGTTTGGTTTGTATCAAACAGGGGGCGCTTGGCCCTGTGAGATGGTGAAGTGAGAGCAGTGGATAAGATCCAAGCACTCAATGAGCATAACATTTTCATGTTTGAGTGACTTAGCTTGAGTGCATTAAGTGTTATAAGCCAAGGAAAAAATCAAACTGTTGTCAAACTGGTGACAAATCTTTACATTAGAGTAGAGGCCGGGCTGAAACTGTGTACCTCTGCATGTATTTTTTTTATTCAACACAACCAAATGCACAAATAACAAAGTAGATTTGCTCTGATGAATCTTTTATATTTCACCTTCAAGCATTAATCTTCTTTTTTTTCTCAATCCTGCTAACCTACCCTGGCCTCCTGCTTTTAAAAAGTAGTCAGGCACTTCTTATGATCCTATAATCGGGTTTTGAAACAAACGCTTGTGGTTCAAAGTGGATTAAAAATCTTAGTAAGTCAGAAAACGAACATTGTGTTTTTTACTGGAAAGGCTCAAAAACACTTCCCGTTTTTCTTTCCAGACTATATGGCGTCACCATGAAACATGATTAATGCTCACACCACCAGGCTTTTGTGACTCACGTTTGGGTTTTCCGTGACTTTGTGGATCAGATTCTCAAATCCAATTCATGCTGCTTCACTGTCTTGCCCTAGATCACATATATTTGCAATAAGCATGTATTTTTATGTGTAAATACACACATAAACCTGAAGTACAGAGGCTGTGTTGCTAACAATAACCACTACGAGAGTAAAAACTGACCATCTATGTCAATGTCTTGTGCCTTTTAAACTTTTCTTGCGAGGCTTAACAAACGTTTGCTTTGATTTCAGAGGTTCTTCATTTCTCTAAATCTACTATACCAAATGATTTCATAGTTATATTGTTGCCTGAGTAAATTTTTTCCATGTTGCTTCAGCAGAAAGTCGCACATTTGATTATTTTGACTGTTAAAAGGCAGACGTGGAGGACTTTCACATGCACTTTCTGATCAAAGAGCTGTAGTTGAGTATCCTTCAGAATGTTCATCAGTGGTTTGTGCAGTTTCCAGATCCCTGCCTTTTCTAGTTCATAGCAGTAACAATTTTATACATAATAAATGTAATAATGGTTACAATACCAGTGCTATTGCATGTGCTCCAAACCTCAGAAAGAATAAAATTGCTGAATGATCTACAATAACATAAAGAAGCAAAAAGAAAAGGAGAGAATAGACGTAAATCCATTAATACCATTTGAGTTGGAAGGCTAGAATGAGTGTGGAGGTGCAATAGATTGAAATGAGTGGGAGGGAGATGGAGGGAGAGTAAAATTTTGTACCTTTCAGCGTCAATTACCCAATTGTGCAGTGCCAACATGACAGAAATCAGAGCTTTTAGAGTGCCTCAGCCTCCCGTTACACTGGCAGAGAGCTCAGAGCGTATAATGTGATACGACATTATAGTCTCGGCTTAATGCACAGACATGGGGACTTATAAAATATGGAATATGATGCTGTGTGTATGTGTGTGTTCGCTTGTGCAATGAGGCAATGTGAGACTGAGAGCGGCAAAGAAACAGGCCCAGTAATGGTGCGACATAATTACAATGAAAAATAAGGAGAAGTTCAGAGAGAGACTGTGGCGCCAGAAAAAGACACATTAAAAGACAAAAAAAGTGAAAAAAGTCGGGTCCCTTGTTGAGTCTTGCCAGCATTTACATTTTTTTTTTAAACAAGTTATGCTAGATTAGCCCAAAATATGGTTGTATGTATATTTCATGTCACCTTGCTCCATTTTTAATACCTTCAAAATTTTCCCACAGCAGATTTTAAGTGCTAAAACCTGCTTGGGCTCATGTACGCTCGCCGTACTGTGTATATGTTCTCATTTATTTATGGGGAGCTCCTTTTTTCCCCCCCTGCTTAAAAAGTTGCCGTACGAATTTTAATTAACTAGAGGTTAACCACGAGGTGTGAGAATGTAATTGGTTTCGCTCGGACTGGCTTCAGAATCTGCTAATGTTTGTTTGTCTCATCAGTGCAGATCTCCTCTCTGCTCGAATGAGCCGTATTCGTTAGGAACAGATATAGTGTCCCAGGTTTGAGGCATAGCTTAAGCTCGCCTGTTTTGCTCTTCGTAAGGTTTGGGCGTGGAAGGAGAACGTGTGGGAGAAGGAGAAGGGCACCCTGATGGAGAGGTACACCGTGGAGCAGAGTAAGCCGCCGTCACAGGGCGGGGCCGTCCTCTCCACCCTCACCATCAACAACGTGATGGAGTCCGACTTCCACTCGCCTTACAACTGCACTGCCTGGAACTCCTTTGGACCCGGAACCATGATCATCACCCTGGAGGAGAAAGGTCAGCTGGAAAAAGGGGGAGAATACATTACTTTGATGATCGATCATGATTCTAGACCTCTTGAACCTCTGAGTTGTCCTAAAGAATATACAAAAGAAAGGTGTTTATTGGATATAACTAGTTGTAAATGTCGTAATATCAAGCGTCACAAAGTGAGGGTGTGGTGTTGATACGTAACGTCTTAATGGAAGTTGAAGCCGTGGCAGGTTTCCAACATACACGCTTTTGCCTTTTTCCCATCGTTTCCAGCCGTGTGGTCTGCAGAACTGACAGCCTGTCAGGAATTTTAACACTGACCCTTGACACTGCGTGGAGCGTGACTGCCTAAAATGAGATGCAAAAGATAAAGCCTCAAAGTGACAAGTACAATTAGTCTGATGTGTTGTGTCTCACACACACGCACACACACACACACACACACACACACACACACACACACACACACACACACACACACACA